TAAGCTATTACAGTGCAACATGTTAAAATTGTCCAATAGCAATTATCTTGCCCAAGATAAAAATTAACATGTCTGGAAGGATTTCCGTAGTAAAGTTTTTCCTGGGGTTTATGACACAGCTATAAAAAAAAATTAATTGAGCTGAAAATGTGCACAAGTTCAAAGAATTCTGTGGAATCTCTTAAAAGTTAAAGCAGCACTGAAGATTATTCTTATGGCGCTTTTTGCCACATACACTTGCATTAAACTCTGCTGTCCATACTATACATTGCCAACATGCATTATTGCAGACAACACCATTCCAAGCACCCAGGAAACTTTTCAGACTTTAAGACACTGTCACGAATCCCTGGGACACACCACCTGAAAGGTGAGCACGTGAGGAGAATATAGGGATAAGGAGATACATATACAATAAGGAGAAGGCACCGAATAGGATGCGCTGGAGGAGCCAGGTGCACAGAAAGGCTGGCTCACCTTATCTCACCATAGTTCCAGTGTCACGTATGCAGCACCTTAAGAGTATAAATTTGGGCAGCCTTGGGTTTAGACCCATGAAACATCTAATACCACACTGGCTACCTGGGATGGAATCAGAAGGACTGACTGCGAGGACTGAGCAGTGAGGACAAAGACTGAAAGAGTGCAGGAGAGGGCTGTCAGGGAGACAGCAGATCCAGCTGCTGGCTCAAACAGTACTGTCCACCCCTCCATCACATCATGCGTTCCTATCACACTGCCCTGCTCTCTGCCTAAGAAGGCTCCAGTGCATGTCAGATCCCACCCTGAGCAAGGAAAGCTAGAGCTTCAGATTGCAGCAGAAGAGCTTTAGTGCACTTTTTTACTATCATTCAGTATGAATTAATAGCCATAAAGCTTCTGTTGTAACAATTAGCTATTGTGTGTGAAGCACTGCAATTTCAAGATATCCCAATCGCACATAATAACCCTCCCTTCCTCATCTTCTATACACACAGCTGTCAGGGCTTTCATTTCCTTCAAGAAGGAATTATCAAGCTGTATGACTCGTTCTGTGCATATATATACATCTAATTATAACAAGAGTTTAGCCTGACCCCTCTCTTAGAAATTCAGATAAACCTGCTTAGCAGAGTCCAACAAATAATTTTAAGATATGCAAGAAGGTATTAACTGGCTTTTATATGTTTTGTATATATGTTTCTTTTGTATGCTATGTTATCTGCTTCGGTGTAATAGCATAGGCCTATAGAACATGCAACACACAAATAAATTTGTTTGCCTCCCATCTAAAACGGATGTTTGCTCATGTAGCCATTCCTTGGTAAACATGTATGGGATAAGATTGTACACTATTTTAATTAAGCCAGGGCTGCTCCGCACTAACTGGCTCACGGCTTCATGTTCCCCAGAGTGTAAGCTGTCTGCTAACCTCCCAGCAGCAGCTCAGGTCTGGTCTCTGAACACTCAGCAGCACCTCATGCTGACACCGGAGCCTGTACTCCTATGCAAGTTTCTCCAAGTCTGAGGATGCTGCTGTGTGCCAGGAAATTAAGAAATGGAAGCAGAGCTGTCAGATTAGGAAGGTGGCTGGAAAACAGAGAGGCTTGAAGGAGAGGCTGAAATGACGTTTGGAGAGGCATGTGAGTACAGCAGGAAGCACTGCAGATTCTTGTAGCTACAGACACAAACCACTAGCTACAGATTAGAGCTGAATACTGAGAAAGAAATAGCCAGTTCCTGGTTTTACAGAAAACGAGCACAGCAAATATGTGCCCATCAGCTCAAAGTTAGTGAGGCAGTCTAACGCCTGCCAACTCATCTGAGCAGGACACCTATTAAAACATCTACTTCACTTACCTTAAATGTTTCTTAACTATGTGCTTGCAAGGACAGACGTCACTGCCAGCCTAAACCATTCTGGACTCTAAAGATAGATACTGAACTACTTCAGAAGAGGCGTATGCCATAGCTTCTGGCTTGAGTAGAACTTCAAAAATAATATTGGATTTTCAAAACTGATAAGACTGGGGATTCAGAACAAGGTCAAAGTCCTAGTGCAGCCTATAATTAAACAATTCCATTCTTATTTCGAAAAAACCAAACCAAAACAAACAGAAACTGTTTCTTGCCCAACGGTTTTAAAAACAAAAGCCACTTCAGAGAGGACAATTAGAACAAGGTAAAATGCTGCCAAAAGGGAAAAATCCAAGGCCTACATATGATCAACACGTTCCTCAAGCAAAAAAACCTGCTCTGCGTGATCCACTGTGTTTAGCCTCCTGTGTGTTTAAACATGTAAGAAAAGAAATCTGTAACAATTCAGACTGCCTTCTAATAAAGTGCTGTATATTACTAATGTAGCCTCTTAACAGGCTTATAAAATCCCCAAGGCTCCTCTACCACCACTTGTGGTTGCTGCCGTGCCTGCTAATAGCACAGGAGGCTATTAAGCACAAGTTGTCTAACTCCATTCACCAAATATTTGCCAGAAGTTATCAACTTACTCTGTCAAGGAAGCATATACATAAAAATAAACATGATTCCCATTGCGTCCTCAGACATAAGCTCCAAGTGATGCTGTATCCCTTTTACTTAGGCATATCATCAACTGTAGTCTCAAAACACAAGAAGTTATAATTAAGCTCCTTATGGAACAGGTCCAGCATAGGCTAGTGTGAGAGAGGATTCTCCTTGAAGTGACTCAGACACCTATTGAGCAATGGGTCTCTGAATCTACAGTTTCATCTCCAAAGACGTAGAACCTTGGCAGCAGTTCTATGAATGCTAGTAGCGTCAGGCTAGGATCAATTATGTTGAACACTGGAAGCTAGGAGACCACCTTTTTGGACCACAAGCTGAAAAAAGCCACGAGACTGTGGCTGATTTGTTTACCCTCCTGGGCTATATTTGAACTGGTGATTCACCATGTCCGTCTTACTAATAATTCCTTCAGCAAGTCATTTCGGCCCCTTCTCGAACCTCCAGAAGTCTTCAGAACTCAACTATTACTCTATGCACGTGTCAAGATGAAAAATACCACTGCTGTTGCCAAAACACACAAATAATTCCATCACTTGGAACATACACAGCTCTTAACTTTTAAAAGCTCTGTAAAACCAAAGAACAAATACTGTATTGGACAAAATTGTGTGCAGATTCCATGCAACATCAACTTATGATGGTCTTCTGTTGTGTTTTTTCCTACTGCAGGCATTAAACGTCCACGGTTCCTTGTAAGAAAAGCAGTAATCACTACGCGTACTTTTATAATATGTTACTCAAGTCATTCTGTTTGTCAAATTTTTGCAGCAACCTTCTTCAGTCTAAAACTTTTCCTCTTTGGTCTCAAGATGTTTCAGGAATCTCTTCTGCTATTCTGAATTGTAACTATAAAAAGTTAGTCTTTGAAGTCTTTCTTAGATTTATTTGCTTGCCAAGAACTCAAAAATAGCTGAGCAAAGCAAGCAGCTACAAAGTTAGCTCTCTGTGAGGAAGCATCTGTGCTGGTTTCATTTTCTTGGCTTTCTGGGTGGGGAGGGACATTTAAATGGCAAGCAACTGGGATGAAGGGGGGAAAACAAACAAACCCCAAAAATACACACTGAGGAAAATCAGCCAAGATGTAGTAGTACAACAAAACTATGCTATGAAGCTCCATCTCTTCTAGGTCATGGTTAGTGAGTGGAAGGGCCTGAAACCTCCCTGTTTTAACTGACCAGAGGTCCAAAACCAAAAGAAATAGGCAATAATGGTAGCAAAGCCTGCCTGAAGAACTTGGATCAGCCATCTAATGACAAATCTTAGACATATTTCCTCTACTGAGCACAGGGGGAAAAAAAAAAATAATGAAGAGATCAAACGAATCGTCCCTCTCTCAAAGGACCCCTCACACATGCTTTATCTTGAAATTTCTGGAAGTGTCTTTTCCTTTGCTCTTATGCTAGAGCTACGGCCACTAGTGAACTGGTGTGTTATCACTCTAATAGTAGTAGCTAGAACTAGAACTGCAGAATTGCCACCTCAGAAGGTGAAGAAATTCACTGCCCACACATGTGTATCTTTGCCTCAGGGCTGCATATGGAAGTTACAGAAAATGATGGCCACACATATCCTAATAATTAGCATATAGCTACAAAATCTTCTCATTTTACAGTAGTTCTTGACGAGCATACCAGGAACCTGCTTTAATTGCCAATTATTAACATACTTGTCTTTGGGGGATGGGAAAGGGTTATTCATTTAATCGAGCAGTTCCTACAAAATATAAGTAAATAAGAAACATTAACTTTCCAAAACATGCGTTTTCCCTCAAATTTGTACTCAAATTAAAACAGCAAGGAAAATATTTTATTGATATTGACTCAAAACAGGCAAAGCTATTCTGAACAAAAGAATGCTCCCTTCTTGTTTTTCCTGAGCAATTTACAGGGGGATTAAACATACAACCCAGTAAAACTTGGTGGGAAGACTCACATTAACAGAAACTTCCATTTCTTATTTGATATGTGGATTTTGGCCAGAGTATACGGGCAATAGAATAACTCCTCTTTATGGGACAGATTAAACTGTGATCTTGATGTTACTCCAAATAAGAAAGTGATAGGGATTGAATACACTAATATCACCAAACTGAAACGTCTCGATTCACCTGTCAAACGTACACACAACCGGAACATAAATAAAACTTAAATACAAAGCAATGTCACTGAAACAAGTAATATTTAGGGGCAGCTCAGTGTAAATTCACATCTCATTTAGAATATTACCAGTGAAATTCTATGTTCCTACTGTGATTTTTTTTTCATCCTAATAAGTACCCCAATAAAAGATACACAAGTGCTATGAGCGAAGTACAGTTCTGAGGCCTGATTCTGCAGTCTTCCCACTGCACAGCAAGTACCATGTGATTAACCCACTGGTCACCATAAAAGAAACTATCATTCCAGGCAAACAGCAGTTGCAGAATCCGGCCTGAGAACTGTTTCATCATGAGTATGTATATCATGAAATAGTCTTACCTCAGTAAGTGCGTGCAGCTGTCCTTGATGCACACAGACACCCATAAACCTACAAGAAACAAGAAAAGAAAAGTGGTTTGGGCTTTTTTCCCCCCCTTTGTTTGCTTTTTCTTTAAAGAAACTAAGATAATAAGTAGTACTGCCTATGCCAAGAAAGAAGGAAAAAGAAAAAGTTCAGCCTCACAGATACTGCATATTTCAAGGTTGATTATTTAAAAGTGTCAGCACAAAACAAAATCACGAGTCTACACTACAATATAATTTGAATTAGCAGTTTCAAGAGAGCATAGGAGACAGCTCAAACTCAAGATGGAAAGTTACTACTTTGACTATAAGGAGAAGCCAGCATACAATGATTTACGCAGAAAAGAACAGTTCTGTTTTAAGGAAGTTTAAGCCAAGTAATCCACTGTTGGTCTGCATAAATAGACAATTACTTCCCTTCACATTTTGCTGCTTAAGCATAAAGATGTTTCTTCCTATCGCGTTTCTAACCACTCAGGAATATGAGGGCATGTACGTGCAGTGTATTTCCCCTCCCCAACCCCCTATTTCCAAACCCTGGATCAAAGCAAGTTTCGATAGTATCCAGTACACGCACATTCCACAAAAGTTACCTACACTGCACAAGGTTCAGACTCTGGCCGTTAATATTGATGACTGTCATCCCTGATCTTTCTGGAGAGCATGGAGGATGTGCCATATATTTAAAGTATGCGGAACAAACAACTGAAAGCTCATTTTTACACCACCATACAAGCTGAACTTAAAAAATGACAACATGCAAATTAACAGTAAACATCTCCCATAAGAAAGTTCAGTAAAACTTAAATTGTATTGCACTTCATAGCCCTTTGTGCACAGTTAAAGCACTGGTTAATTTTAGATCAACTAATTTTCAGTTTTATCATTTATATTTTGGCCTCAACAAGGAAAACCATATTGTCTGTCATTTCTACAATGTTCAGAAGTTTCCACTTTGCAAGCAAGGGGTAGAAATGCATGGTTTCATTAAATATGATAGGGGAATCTTATGGAGAACAATTTGAAGGGAAAGGACCTTTTATATCCTCAAACACTTCCGAATTTAAAAACAAAATGATGCAAGACACATGTAGTGCTAGTTCAGCTAAGCTGCTTTTGAAGAAATGAATGATCCTCACTGTTCTCTTGTCTAACAGCTGACTGGTAAATTATAAGCAGCCAAAGAAAAATAATATAGGTAAGGTCCTTTGGATAAGCTGAGCTGTGGAAATCTGTTTTATAACCAAAGAAGAAGCAGGGCTTGTACTTGAACATCTATTGCCTGCTCTCACCTCAAATAATATTCCCCAAATTACATATGCATATTTTAGTTTGATAGTGAAAATCCAATTCCTCATATTTAATGAAGAGCAATAGGGTACAACCAGGTATTCAGAGGAAAGGGAAGAAGGGTTCTTTTAGATATACCATCTACTCAAAACATTGCTGTTTCCAAGTTTCACTTCAGACAGCAATTGTATATGAACAATTTTCTAAGCAAGCTGACAAATTAAGCTTCCTGAGATTAAGAAATCCAGACTCCTCCACACCAGAAATCTGTTTCTTCCTTAATGCATTCTGAAAGTCTCCAGAGCTCTCAGGGATGGTGCTAGTAAGCTTTATTCACAAGCAAAAATGGGGAGAAAAATTCCAAGATATCAGTTCCACTCTAAGACAATTTTTGAAAGTATTATTTCCTCTTTTATGAAACTTGCTAATGACACAAGGTTAACCCAGTACTGCCATATTTTCATTCAACAAAAACTGAGGCTAAGTAATTAAAAATAGTAATGCTATCATCTATATATCAATTCTTCCTTTGTAAAGGTATATTATGAATTATATTCCTAATTCAGATTAGGAATTCATTATATCTGATTTAATTCTAAAAAATGAATGCAACTAAGAATTTATCAAAATTTTGGCAAAATTAAGTTTCTTGTCTCATCTTTACCAAAAAGGAAAAACATCGCTATCACCCAAAGCCTGGTAGACCTTAACTTTTTCTGCCAACCTGGTCAAGGAAAGTCTCAATGGAAACCCATTCATTACCTTTCTGAACCTACAGTTGAGGCAGAAAACGCGCGCTGGCTCAAGTTACCAAGAGTAAGAGTTCAAAAATTCTGTACGTTTAGGGTTTCTACTGGGAAACAGACATACATTTCTAACTTTAAATCAGAAATTAAAAACAAAGCTCAATATCATGATCTCATGGAAAAAAGCTGGACATAAAAATACATTTATAAACTCCACATATTTAGAAGTTATTACCCAGGAGAAGAGAAACCAGATACACTGATAAAGACAGAATTAATGAGTTTACAAGCAACATACTGGAACCATTTAAACTTTGTGTCAAGAATCTCAGTTTTCAGACTCTGGAAAACAGATTGATAGAATAGACCTCAAGTGATTCAAATTCCTGGAAAACGTCTCCTTAGCTGCTGTATCAAGCAATAATAAACCTCCTGGTTAAGCCAAGTACTGCTACAAAACGCTGTCTGTGAGCATTTTCACTAAAAGATAATACATCCAGCTGCTACCAGGAAATACAATTACCAAGCGAGACTTAACATACGATTTCAATTTCTGAGATTGCCCCCGATGAGATTCCAAGTTCTGTGGATAGGAAGCTGACATGCTGGCCCAGTACAGCTGAGATTATTCCTGTTGGCTAGACGCACTGTCTCCAGAGCCAAAATGTGCTTGTAGGTGAACTTCAACAGAATATCTTGTCAGCCAAAGGTTACACTTCCTATTAGCATTTCTAGTCGGAAGAAGCTTCAAGGAGCCAGTCATCCACAAAACAAACAGGAGACCATTTGCTGATTTAAGGAAGTGTGTTTTCAAGACAGTGTATCTGGCCTTATCAGGAAAGCCGAAGCACATCCAAAATCATAACTAGTAGTTGGAAAAGTTTTCCCAGAAACTGCAAATATGAAGGATGCTATTTGTGTCCACCCTACTAAACAGCACAGTACATTTCCACTACAAAATGCTTTCTAACAAATGTCAGCGATGTTCAGATGTTGGAAGTCTCTTTCCATAAACCAGGTTATTCCTCAATCAATCTGGAATACCTGAAGAGCAAGAGAAGGTACTCTGAATATTTCTTAGACCATTAACAGCAGTTATCCAAACTGCTTTCGGTTCAGTCTGACTGCAAGGGAGAAGATTCTGGATAGGAAGGGGGAGACTGTAGCCTGTAGACTAAGAACTGCAGCCTGCAATCTTTGCCTCCTTGATAAATCAAGCAAAACTAATATCCAGATTATACAGCCACTGTGGACATCTAGACATTCAACACATGCTTCTCATTAAAAGAGCCTTAATGGGATGTGCTCCTGTTCTGTGGATAAGCCTGTGGCAGCTACAGTACAACACAATAAAGTGATGTCCCCTGAAATCTACTGCTGCTGTGAGAAAATTCAGCAGTTTGACGATAACATTAAACATAAGAAACAAAGCAAACCCACCACACCAAAGTCTCTCACACAAGCTCAGTAACACAAAGAGAAACACGGTCAAAAGACAGATGCTTACTTCATTGCACTGACGGTTGGAGAACAAAGAGGGTAAGACTATTAAGTCCGCATTAAGACCTCCCTTATTGTTTTAGGTACCGTGCTAAATTAAAAAAAAAAAAATTTAAAAGTTTCCTACAGTTGCATTTTGATTCAAGACACGGAGGTAAAGTATTCCATCTACCCTTTCTGTAACATATTATACACTATGCACGCAGTCTCTCTTCTGCTGTCTTGTGCACAGCATTTCTAAAATACTCCATTTTGATAACCACATTATACAGAGAAAAGTAAAAGTATTTTTCTTTTCTGTTAAAGCACTGTTCAATACAGGACAAAAGATGTTAAGAGACAAAAGCCATCCTTCTGCCTATTGTAACAAAGTTATTCACAACTAATTTCACAAAAAGGAAGGTTGACAGGAGAAAACTGTACACACCAAAAAAAGTGGTATTGTGGTCCCAGGCTGCTAGATTTATCTGAAAGAAGAATAAATAAAATTCTCCTTGAAAGAAGTTCATGTAACATGCACGCTGCTTGCTTATTTGTGTGTGAGCGCACACACAAGAAGGTGGATTTAATCAATGAGTCAATCTGCCTGCACGCTCCTGCCAAACACGCAGCGATACCTCCAAGCGCTCCTAGGAGAGCACTTAAGACATGAGCTAAGGCTCTCTCTGTACAGAATGTTTTAAATGAAGTCCCCAAAGTACAGATCAAATAAAGAAATACTTCTTCATGCAAACAGTAGTGATATTACAGACTGAAATTCTCTCTCAAATTTGAAGATACACTAATTTAGGAGACAGCACAGACGGAGAATCTGTGTTAGCACACCACTTCATTTGTGAAAATGAGAAACACACACCTGTAAGACATTACCAGAATGAAAAGGTATCAGGTCTCTCAGGATGTAGCCCTAAGGCTCCCAGCCTAGGACTCAAGGACAGAGACTTCGAGACCTTTCCAACCCTATTTTCTTACTTTGTTTTGGGTAAACACTCATGACCAGGGCAGCACATCAGCATTCAGAGCAGCAGCAAAGCAGTAAAACACATTTAGAAGCATACACTAGACCTTTCATAACGCTGGTACCAGATCTAACCCAAGCCTTGAACAGCCCTGCCCTTTAAATGGATCACAAGCCAGTAAGGAAGTGAAGCAATGCTCCAAACCTGTTTCCCTTAACCCCAGCAATTACAGTCTTGCCACATACCAGCCAACCTGCGTTAAAGTGGCTACAGTAAGCATCGCGTGGTGCAAACCAGAACTCCAGCTCATTTTTCCACTCCTGCTCTCACCATCTGTTTTGAGGGAAGATGTGCTAAAGCCAGCACATCCCACACCCAGGGCAGGGAGAAGGGTAAATCAGAAGCAGAAAAGCATTTCAGTTCTCCGTGTTTAGCTCGTGTGCAGGAGTGAGGTAGAGATAGGAGATGAGGCTGATGGTAGAAACAGAGCAGAACACTCCATGAACACTCAGTTTACTTTTGCCCTGTCCACTCCTAGAATGCCCCTAAGCTGGCCCCTGGGGAAAAAAGGCAAAAAATGCCAAACCAGCAGCTCTTTCATACCTAGTTACCTATGCTCACCAGACAGTGACTGAACACAAGGATTACTCCATTACAATTAACCTCCATTCTGCCTCTGGAATCACATCCACTAATTGAAATAGGAAGCAAGAGGGAGGGAGACAATCCTCTAAATCCCCTTGCTTTTTAAATATGCCAATGTAGCTGCAAGAGCTGGAGTCTTCTATTCCAAAGTATCCTTAACAGACTGACAGAGGTTCCATTTTTGCCAAAATAATCCCTCTAATAGAGGACAGTTCCTCATTTTCTTGAGGGAAAATAAATTAGAAAAGTGTTTTTTATATATATGTATATATTTGGCCACTAGAATCTTTATGATGCTACCCTGGGAATGGTATACTTACTGAGCACTTAGTAAGTGAAAAATAAGCTCTTCACTTACATCAGTCTTCTGATCAGGATGGATCTACATAGCTGGCCAAGAGCAGAAAATACTGAAATAAGTGGGGATATTTAAAGTTAGCCTTTCACTCCGTGCCAAAAAATACAAGTTATTTTTAAAGCCTAAATAACGAGAGTGGTACTTCACTAAGAAGTAGAGAAACCAGAACACCTTGACACAACTCCATCTCCTTAAGTATTACAAAAGTATCACTGAGGCAGAAACACAGACCTGCCTCTAGGTAACCTCTACCGAACTAAGGAACCGAAGAAACTCAGCAGCTACTGACGAACTCACATTCCAGAACAGTGATTGCAGACTAGAGTATAAAACCTCAAGAGGCATCTGTAGCTGTGCAAATGAGTTGATACAAAGAGCACAGAAGCAAGAGCAGTTTCAAAGAGTCAGTAATATTTATTAGTCGCATCAGTGCAACCAACGGCAAAAGTACAAGAATCTTTGCAAAAAGATCTTGAAGTTAGCTGTGGGCACATTGGAATTGATGGGTTGTAAAAAGTTGCTATGTACTTTAGAGCACTGGCAAAGGGATGGGTTTTTTAATCACCCAAAGGATAATAATAATCTCTGACTATCAAATATACCACTAGGAAGAGGAATCTCTTCTCTCTTCTACATCACTTAGTTCATACAAACCAGGGAAGAGTTCTAGGACAAAAACATTGATTCAACTACAAATTGTAGGTATGAAAGCATCAGGATGTTCAAAAACATAACGCACCCAGATTAAGGAAGAATTTCATATACTAAAAAATACATGATTGCTGAATCTGACATTCACTTTCTAAAACACTTTCTAAAACTTAACTGCACACGTTGAAATAGGTTGAGAGCAGATTTTGGATGCCTTAAAGCCAGTATCTATCCAGTTTCCTAACTTTACAAGCCATTTGATATTAGAGCACCTCACAGCCCTCTACCTGATGGAATTAACCCCTGCACAGCATGATCCCAACATTTCAGCCTAAGAATCCACTTGCATCCTTAGTGGCAAACAACAGATCAGCACTAAGGAAAGTAACTTGTTTACAGCCTGTTAACAGCAGGTAGTCTTAGAGCTTACAAAAGATGAAGAAGCTCACATGTATATATTACGTAAAATCAGAGTGTGCCTTTAAGGCATATAAAGGAGATCCAGTGACTAATCAATAAATAATTAAACTTGATGCTAGTTGTAAAACAGCTTACTCAGTAATATAGAGGAAGAACTTCAAAGGACAGAAATTAAGTGAGGAAAATGACATTTAACAGCAAACCAAGGTGGCTCATAGTCCCTGGAAAGGAGAAGTTACACATTAGAACTTCTTGGAAGAGGATCATTCCATTTAAATGCTAACAGAAGCTTCAAATTTCCAAGAATAATCCTAGAAAATGTTTCAGCAGGAACACATTGTAGGGCATCTTCCTAGTGACCTCTCAGCAATACTACTCCAGCTGCTCTTATTTGACAACAGTGTGTTTTCACCTCTCACCACCTTACTATAAAAGCAAATTACTATCAGATATTACCTCTAATGTGTTTCTAAAGTGGGAAATAGGTCCTAAACTGATTTTTACAACACTAGTAGAAGCACCAATGATTTATAGGTTTCTGAAACATAAGTACAGATGTTTGCATGCATGTGTGTGTGTATATATAGCTATACACATATAAACACATAGGCAGGTAACATTTATAAAGGGCAAAAATCTTCTCCCAGATATCCCATAGAAACACTGCAGTAATTGTTTTAAACCAAAAATAAAATCACACATAACTTTGCAGTTTTGTGTTATTTATCTGCTACAGAAAGAAAAATAATAGCTTTTACTGTGTATCATTATTCAATAAAAGAATAAACTAAAACTAAATACAGTTTTCTCATTTGCATTTTCTATAGGAATGTCCCTGCTGCCTGGAACAAGGGTACTTACCTAATACATAAGAAAAAGGCAACTTTTTTTTTTTTACCAGAGAACCTACTCTCTTTGAAGAAGCCTCAAATGAAGCAATTCATAAAGCAAGTGTAGTTTATTCTTCAAACCAAATTACACAAAGATAAACCATTTCTATTTAAGTCATTTATTTCTTATGTATTCGCTCATAACTGCTTAGTTGAGCACACAAAAAAAAGATTTCTCTGTCGATCCTCTGTAATACCAAATGGAATTCCCATTCTGCTTCATGGATAAATCAATACATTATTGTTCTTTCTTCAGCACCATCTGTGCAACACCACTGACTATTCATAGGTTCTAAGGTCAGAGCCGACTGATATCATCATCAATAGGAGCTCTTAAATGTTATAAAACATTTAAATTTCAGGAATTACTCAGAACTGAGCAAAATAACTTTTGTTCTTGGAAACACCTGTGTAACTCTACTCAGGGGTGAGGGGGGCAAGGTTACATTAAGCTGCAACTGAATGCTTTTTGCCTGTAAAACTATCCCTTCCCTACTTTCCCTCACCCCAGCCCAAATGAAATATTTTGAACAGAGTTGAAAAAATAAAAAAAAAGGTTTTTTAAAAAATCTTTTTTAAAATAAAGATTTACAAACCACACAAAATTGATAGAGAGCGTGATGAAGTGTACTGACTTTATTATTCTGACAATGCCAATCCTATGAAGTTATTTTTTCCACAAACCTTACTAAAAAAAAAAACCTGTATCACTCCTCAAGATTATACGCTGCTTATCTAAGGATTCCAAGGGAAAGGAAGTGGTGGATAGATATGAGAAACAATTAATAATCCTGAAACCTAAAAAGCCACACATCTGACATCATTAAAAACAAAGAAATACACAAACAGAAAACTAATTGCTGGGAACTCATTTCACCTTGGAGCAGAGAAAACAGACTAAGAATTCTAATTAGGGAGAGATTACTAGGACACTTGAAAAAATATACTGTGATAAAACCAATACAGTTTACCATTAGTAAAAATTCCCTAAGTTTACAGGTTTTGGGGAGTGTTAAGGAAAAAAGAATAGAAAATAGGCATGAATTAATGGAATGCTCCCTACAGTTAGCCCAAATGCTTCTGACATGTCTCCTCATAAATACTGAAGAAAGCAAACAAGATAATATTGTCACATGTCAGTTGATGAAGACTGAGCCAGGATTTCAAGGACCAGAAAAGCTGGTTATAAAGGATTTTAGGAATCAGTACTATGTCTCTACTATTTAACAGTCTGGTGAAGAAAAGGAAATTAAATTAAAGTTCACTATGTCTCTAAAACTTTTCAGAAAGAGCTACACTGCCTGAGCCTATCAAAATGGATCCCAACTGTGCAACAGCAGTTCAGGAGAACCGGTTATTTGTTGCACTGTCATCACACCTTTAAACTTCTTAATGTTATGGCTTCAGCTAATTATGTTAATTGCTTGCACATCATCATGAAAGATTAACCAAGACTGAAAAGAATCAAGCAATAACAAGATACACATTGAAATATTTTGGATTTGCATCAAGTAATCTATTGCAAAACAAGAACTACCTTTTTCCTTTCAAAAACAGATAAATCAGATTAGTTCAACTCTAGCTTCTTTTCTTTGGTCCCTCTTATCCCACCTTGCCATACTACAACCAGAAAATGCTAAAAACTAGGTAACAGACTTAAAAATATGAAGAAGCTATAGCACTTTGCATTGTTAATCTGCAAGATTAGTAACCATACAGTATTTGAATGGTGTTAAATTTGCAATAATTAAAATTCATTATGAGAAACCAAGTTTCACTCTTCATATCATTTTACTGATTCATCAGAAATTTATAATATGAAAACTTGTTTTTCTCTGAATTAAGTTACTCATTACTGTTAAATGCCACATATTAAAATCATGTGGATTTTCAATTTCCTCAAGTCTTTTCTTCCTCCTCTTCTTCCATTAAATTAGAACCTGCTCCACATTTACAACATATACAGCTATAATTAAAAATAAATTAAAATTGGAAATAGGAAAGCTCTACTAAAGACAGCCTATCTCTATACGATTCAGAGAAAAGCCAGTATACCTTAAGATGTTTGGATGTGAGAGTCTATTCATAAGTTGAACCTCTTTCAGCATGTTTGCTCTGTTGCTGTTCAGTGTGTTCATCTTCAAAGCCATTACTTGGTCTGAAGTTCTGTGCCTTACCTATAGGATACAAGCAAAAAATGGTAAGGATATGAAATGCAAGACTGAAAAAACAGCAATTTGCAGTATAACTTAGAGGTCCTTCATGCCAAACAACTTGATCTATACTCTGATTTCTGTAGCCTTTATCACACAGATGACTTTCTATAAGCATACTATCCAAATGTGAAAAAGTATTTTGCTCTTCTCTTGTATCTGGTGATAACAGAAAGCTTGAGAAGTTGAGACAAAAAAAAATATCAGCTTCTTAGTACAAGTAAATGAAGCTACTTATTGGTCCAAGGCGAGAAAGTTTCCTACTCCAAGATCACCTTCATCGCACCCATATCCCTCCTCTTTTCCCACTGCAGTGGTTGTTGGCATTGTTCTACAGAACGTTTTATGAGAGGACCTGCTGGTTACAGCTACAGAGCACATTTCAGAGACATTCAATATTTATTTCTGAACCAAGACTACCACCCAGATTATACATTCAGTGGACAGAAAGCATTCATACCAACCCCTGCTGCAAAGCAGAGAGGTTACTGGACACACTGTCACCTAGTCTAGGATGTTAGTAGTGGCTGCAAAGTGTTAGCATAAAAAAGAGGATTTCCCTTCAGAGTTACCTTCCCCAGTCAGAAATGCACAACTGTAGCCATTTCTAAATCGATACTCTTAAACTAGTGCATCTCTCACCAGCAAACAGACCAATATTGTGTAGATGTGTGCTACTAGATGTTGGAAAGGAGCTGTCACGATAGCCTAAGGCTTGCCAATCCTCCAAATTTCCTTGCATTTCCAATACAGTTGGGCATTCCCACATGCATACTGGCCGTATTCATGGAAGTTGTGCTCCCATTGTTTTCCTTCTACATCACTCCCTGCAGCCCATAATCAGAAAATGTGTATTTCTCAAAGCACTGAACTACCACCATGACAAATTCATTCTTCTTTATGGAGATCAGTTTAGAAAAGCCTGTGATGCAAGAATTCAAGATTCTCGTCAGCTTTCTGATTTACAACAGAAATCTACGTTATGATGTAGGTACAAATGAACTACTTAGATTTTAAACAATGGCAGCCTGACTCCTTTTATTCCAGGAGACTCTGCTCATCTTTTCCAATAAAAGGCTTCTTCAGCTGTGATACACAAGTTACAGAAAGAACAGCTGAACTCACGATAAGCAGATGCAAGAAGAAAGCTGGGTATGTTTTTTGGAGGTGAGGCTTACTGGTAGGTCTGAGGTAGCAAGTGATATTCATTTTCAAGTATTATTTGCACACCGTATCTGCAAGAACAAGGGGTGTATTTCAGATAAACATTCTCACCCAGACACAAAGCACCACGAATGCAGCAAAGGGATGTACTGGGAGGAAAGGGTGTCATCTTTCAGATGTGTGCCTGGCTCAGCGCCTCCGAGCTGCCTATTCCCGACCTAGTTTGAAGGATAGGGTAGCACTGGAAACATCACAGTTAAACACTCTAGACAATATCGAGGGACTGAGCGAGTAGAAAAATAGCCCACAGATGCTTTTTCCCCTGCTTTCCTGCCTGCCCATGTACATGAGCTCCTCAGATGCTTCACCCCTAGTCACCCAGTAATCCCAGCGCAAGAAGGATCAGAGAAAGGAGGTGGAGAAGGATACAGAAACCAGCACAGAGAACAGAAACCAACAGCCAGTTCATAAACACGGGACTCCTGTCAGTGGCAATACTGGCTTTAAAATAAAACTGGTTGAACTACAGCTTTTGTGCATTATAACAAGATAATCTAGAATCCTCCTGCACACAACCTGTCTTGCCTGTTTGGCATGCTTATTGGTTTTAAGCGGGATGATTACATGTTAAGTTGATGAGGTTTATTGTTACTTGTCAGGTTTCTTGTGTCTGTTGTGTGCTTTCATTAATTTTTAATTTTATTCAGCTTTTGCATACCTAGTCAATTTGAATGAACAAGCCAAACTGGACAGGTCAATGTCTATATACAGACCTATAAAACATATTTTAGTTACACGTTAGTTTATTAGTAGTAATGCTTTGGCTGAGGAACTAAAAATTTTAAAAATGCTTTCGTAGATTTAAGAGAGGAAAATTTGTTCCAACAATGCAAATTTAAATTAAGAAAAAAAGGACAATTTGTAAGTTTTGAATCTATACACAGCGGCCAAATCAGCACAGTTCCTCTGGGAGGAGGGCTAGGAATCTTGGGTGTTGTGGTGGAGTAATTTGGGCTTTGCAGGGAATAGGAAAGAATTTAAAGGAACTTAACTCCTACAGGCAGAGACATGCTCTCAAGAGAGCTTCCTCGGAAATCAGCTTTCTACAAACACAAGCTTCAAGGTCTGCCAACAGGGAATGAATAGGTGGAGGTGAGCAGGAGCTCAGATGGAGTATGGTCTTAAACATTATTTGCCTTCTCATTAATTCTGCTACCTACTTCTTAATTTCCTGCCCATTTCTATAATTTATGCAGTTCCAAGCCAAAATTTCAAGTCTTTTTACCTCAACTCTGAGGTAAAAGTAGAATCTATCATAGGACCTTCTTCATCGTTCTTTGCCTTTTCCTTGTTCTGACCACTTTTCTTGAGCTAGGGAAACCTCAGAGAAGAGGGTGGATAAGTTTTGGGGTGCTGTGTCCTACACACTTCCTGGATTTTCAGGTCTGATACACAAGAGGAAGCGGTTAGCAACTGCTTCTCAAGGGTCTGCCTGTCCACCATACTAACACCACATCCAGAGAACATTGAGCAGCTTTTGCAAAGACAAAATTTTTTGTCCTCTATTTCAGACAGATATTCTTAAAGTGTTTTCAGTCTTGACAGACTGAACAAGCTTCTGTGGTGAGGTCTGGGGGGAATTTCATTTGTTTGCTTTATAAAATAATCTCTCCCATGCTTGGAAATAGTTCAGATTTCTAGCATCTGCCCATATAACTGGTCTCTAAACAGCACCCAACACTATGCTTTGTTTCACTTAAAAGGGACTCTGTGAGGTAACGTCAGCGATTTTATTTGAACTTCTGTATACTGTTTTGACATTGGAGCATGTACTCCTGCTGACTCTGACAGAACAGCAAATTACCTAATCAAACCAAAGCAAAGGGGAGAAAACAGGGGCTCTCCCTCTCTTGCTAGCTACCCTTTTAATAAGGAGGGAAAAGCAGAAGTGAAGGTGTGAGGGCATCTCCTCAAGAGGAAGATACTCCATATTTATGAATAAAATCAAATTCCATTTTATATATTATGGAACACAATGCTAATCACTTGGAATATACATAAGACTAATTGTGTTCTCTCCTCAGAAGCACTGCTGGCAAGCAGTATTTCCGTGGCAAGAATGAACTGCCAACAGGGAACAGACAGGTCCTATCTTTAAGATCTCAGTCAATCTTCAGATCATCTACATGATGGCAGAAGGAGCTGCCAGTTACTCTACCCTCTGTGCTCACTTACCTGTCAGTCATACCCTAGACAAAATTTGGGTCTATTTTGGCACCCCTCACCAAAACCCTGCCAAAATGTTTGGTTTTAATTCTTCATCTCCTTTCAGGCCACCTCTGTGCAATAAAAGCATAGAAATAATGTTTCAACTCCCTGACCACTCCAGAAGGAAAACTAGTAAATATTTTGGAAATATTGCTGATCCAATTAACATTTGTTTACAGGGAAGTTTGTCTCAGGCATATGCCTGTGCACTCAACATAAACAGGGATTCACTCATGCAATTCAAACCTTTCACTGATGCAACTAGAAGATTGCTGTAAAGCTTTTAAAGCTGTTGACATTATTATTAATTAGGGTTCCTTGCATATCAGAGCAAGTAACCTTTCAGTGATGTCTGGATGATCATGTCTCTGCTTAGAAATATTCTGACAATCCTACAGCTGCTTTCCCATGTTGCTTTGCACACACTTCTGACTCCTCAGTCTGCTTACCTATGTGTCTCCATCCCCGAGGTCACAGTAACCAGATATTGCCTCCCTGTTTTATTGCTGGCAGGCAGTTAAACTGTCCCTTTGCACTCTGATTCTCCCAGGATCAAAGTACTTTGTAAGTACTTTGACCTGTCTATAGCCTGTCCTCCAAACCGTGTTCTGATCCTGGACCTTACCCCTTCCTTCAGAAGGTAGCAAGAAGTAGAGGAAATCATGGATCCAGGTACAGAAATATTAACATACTTGATGGAAGTCTCATAACAGTGATTGAGCAGGGCTTGTGTTTAAAGGTACCAGTTGCTACATAAATGCTGTATGCAGTCCACACATGGAATATCCTACAAAAAATTGGTGGGTTTAACTTCCAGCTTGGTGCTTACCTACAAAATTCTTTATTATTAAAAAATGCCTAAATATGATTTAAACATTAATTTATTAAGTCATATAGATATGTCAGGGATTTCTGAAAATCCAAACCTTTATATTACTTCCACTTTTTGCCCAGACCGAGAGGGGAGGAGCATTTAAGCAACATCTGAAATCTTAGCCTGATTTCATCTTTCACAAGACCTTTTCAACCTTTACTATTAACTGTACCCTTCCAGGTGTCCTTGGAATGAGCATCTGAAGAACATTTTCTAAAATTGATGCTATAAATCTGCCAATACAACCTTCTGTTTTGCCCCTCATTTTTCACTGCTTTTTCATCATTTTCAAACTATATAATGATGATTTGGAAGTATTTTGTCACTGTTCTCTTCCAAAAATGCATTTAATTGCTTTCCAGTTTTTCCTTACCTTTCCTTCTTCTGGTATCCAGCTTCAATGCTTAATTACATTTGCAGATCTTATACAGTCTACTACATAAAATCATGTTGCCTCTCTGTCTCTAGCACCCACACCAATGTTTTCTTCATTCTTTTACACACCTCAGTCTTCATCTGCTATTTCACCTTCACCTTTCCTACCATGTGTCCAAAGTACCATTTTAAAAGCAGCCCTCTCTAGTCGAAGAGGAATCCAAGGAGACCTTCCCAGAGTTTGCTTCCTGCTTCTGAGCTCACTGTACTATCCACACAAATG